CCTTTGAACACTACGCCTCGAGGTCTACCCCAGCTAAGACTATCTCCATCTGATGAATCAAAAGGAGGACGCAACCGGTTATGGGGTGTTAGGGTTGGGAGGAGTAACAGCGAACTACCAATTCAGTTACGGTCCTTGTGATTGTAATGACTGAGGTCTAATTCAAAAAGGACCGAGGTCTGAGTAGAGACTGCGAGTCGCAATCCAACTACACAGCGGGCACACCAAATGCCACCTGGAATTCTTTACCGCTGTGCCAAGCGTTGCTGGCGGATCTCAGAGCCATAGTGGTCAAGGTGTCAACCTTTAAACACAAGGCCTCGAGGTCCACCCCAGCTCAGGCTATCTCCATCTGATGAGTCCAAATAAGGACGAAACCGGTTATGGGGTGTCAGGGTTGGGAGGAGCAACACCGAACTACCAATTCGGTTACGGTCCTTGTGATTGTAATGATCGAGGTCTACTTCAAAAAGGACCGAGGTCTGAATGGAGATTGCGAGTCGCAATCCAACCACACAGCGGGTACACCAAATGCAACTTTGAACAATTGTACTAATATTACAGCCTTCCTTCCACCGGCGTCCACGGCAATTGGTCGCTGATGGACCCATATGGACTACAACGATAAAGGGTTCAGGTGGTGCGAGTTTATGTATAAATGCCATTCGCTTTGGAAGATATTGTCTCAGTTCGCTGTTGATGTTCGATGAAGCATGGTAATTGAGGAGCAGCCCCGAATTACAGACGGTGATATATCCGCGAACGCCATGCATCTTACGATATCGTAAGCTCTCTCTAAACAAGCGGAAAAGTGGGATTTATGCCGACACGCGTGGTGGGGACCTTCTGTTATCGACATTATCAGTCGCCACGGCACTGGAAACTGAATACTCGACACGTCGACTAGGTTGCCGGAAAGCAGTGGAGGGAAAGCTGGCAACAATGAGCACAATGCGATTGAATGGGCTGTGGGGAGCGAGTGAAAAAGGATCCATGCAAGCGGGTAACTAAAAGTGGTTAAGAGGTCTCAGAAAATCGAGGTAGAAGAGTATTGGGTGACTCCAAGCAAACTCTTCCAACTAAGCAACACAAACGGCTTCAGGAACCCATGCGTCAGTAAGACAATCGGTGACCTCAGCTGCGTCACAACGGCTAACAATGGACATGCCTGGCTTGATCATCAGAGAAACACAAGGAAAAATGTAGTTTCCGGTTTCGAGCCGTGTGCCGCTCAGGTTATGCAGTCCGAACCATGATCAGTTAATCGAGCTTCAAATGCAGTCACAGTTCCTAGGTGTTTTTGTGTTGTCGGCTCAGACTCGCGTGACCTCAGAATTTAAGTATAGATATCAGAATCTTTGTAAATCAAGGAACTACCCGTTCAAATTGATATAGGGAAAAGAAACTGTTCAAGCCAATAGGGACACATCAATCATGGTGGCAACGTACAAAAAGTGCTAGCAACAGAGGCAGGAAACCGCAAAGTTACAGACCTTCCTTACCATCCGTCCTTGCTGAGAAACATCAGTCCGGGAGGAATAAAGAACAGGTAGGTTTTAGACCGCAGCGTTGTTACGCTACACAGCTGCACACCAGGGCATGTGATACAGTAGCATCGCACATATCACAGGCCAGATACAGAACTTCTCTAAACAGTCACTCGCTCCGCGATATTCGGCATGTTTGCTCGGAAGGGTGTCCCATGGAAACTGAACATATTAAGTATTTCTTACTATAAAGTATCGAGTCGTATTATAGCCTATCCCAAATTATCAGACGCTGTCCCGGTAAGTGGCGCTCGTTATACTTGTCCTGTTTCCGCACTACCTTTTGTTCTGGTGGGCTTCATCATGGTGAATCATTAGCCTCCTGGCGCATGTACAGAAGTCCTCTAGTAGAGAAAACTGATTGCTCCAAATAACACTGATGGTATCATCTTTATGTTTGACAATAGAGAAATGAAACAGTCAGAGCGGGTGTAAACTGCATGGGCTAGTTATATTCTTTCGCATACGCCTTGTGAGTCCAGTGTGATCGCAGGATCGCCACCCACTTGCTGGACCTCTGATCCGAAACGAGGGGAAAGTTGAAACAGTTGAATGATCTATTTATTTCGGTGACTACATTTGCGCAGACATCCGTATGGCTGCTGTAATCAGCTCACACATTGCACAAGCTAAAGTATTCATAAATGCGAAGCGCCTCGCGACAGAGGAGGGTTACCATGCACTCAAAGATTATAACTGTCGAAGCACAGTGAAAGCTGTTCTGTGGAAAATTCCTGACCCCTTAAGTTTAAAGAGCTAACGGTCATTTCCAGCGAAGTAATGCCCGTGTGGTGGGGGGAATGGTTAGCCCGGTAACAGGAAATAAAGTCACTGAACGCTGCTGCGTCTCGCTTGTGTGTGGTAAACGCGGCTGATCCGGTGCTTGACTCAAGATAAAGCAAGGAATAGATTACAGCCGGAACTAGCGATGAGTTGACCATTTTCATATAGTCAAAGTCCCTTTTTAAAGCGCGACAGACGACAGTTAATGTTGATTATACTGTGGGCCAGTGTAAACCGCGAAGAAGATTGCTCGATGACGTGCGTATGTAAGCAGATGTACCGCATCTGTTGCTTAAAAAAGCCCAACAGGCTTCAAAATACATTGGTAAATCTCGTATGGCAATACAGAGCTGTAAGCATCTAAGGAAGCGGTTGCTGCTTATGAGTAAAACGTTGAATGTATCCCGCTTCATAGTGACCAGCACTAATACACACATAAGAGACGGCCACCAAACACCTAAGAGGTCAAGACTAATTGTATTTGGCCATCGACGACTGCGGAGCTTGATCGAATTACCGAGTGAGTAGCGGGGATGTCCACCAATTAGTGTCCAGCAACAGCAGCAGACCATCATTTTCATTGGAAAATCAGTGATTTACAAGTCATGCATCGTTTTCGACAAGGTACCCAGCAAACTGAACCCCGGGGTGGCCGACGGGAGGATTCGAGAAAACTCAGTCTACGCATGGCTGATGCGTGGTGCTTTCCTAGTAGAACTCGGGATTAGTCAAATCAGCGGTTAGAGACTGCCTGACATGTCACAGTTCCGCAGTCATTGGCGTTTCACCGTTAACTACTTTCAGTACAGTTTTATAAGCATAGTCCTGGCACGGAAGGGTGGTGGGTCCAGTCGCCACGACTCACAACGCCATGACAACAACAAACAACGGTAAAAATGTGATTAAACACAAACATAAAATTGAGAAAGGAAAGTAAGAGTAGAAGTGCGCAAGGATAATCGGGATGGAAAATTAACTGCTACACGTAAGAAACCGAATGCAGGGGACACCACTGTGCCATGTAAGATAGTCTTTAACCACCGATGTGGACCATCATGAGGCCTGCTATGAGGGTACAGTTTCGCGAGCGCATGCCAATGGAGCGCGTGAATCGTGGTCACCCGATCATCTGCACCGAAGACCCGGTAAGCTGAGTCCAAGATTAAAGCCAGCTTATACCCAAAGGTCAGATTAACACAATGGAAAGATATCGTTCAATAGACTAGTGTAGATTTGAAATCAACGCACATGAGCGATCGAACGATTACCAGCGCAGATTGTACAGTGAAAGTTAATCCACTTCTGGTTCACGTGATGGTAGGGATTGGCTTACTCGCTACTTTAGCAGAGTCCGACACAACAAGGCCTCATCAACGAAGACGATATGCAACACGTGAATAAGTTTCTTCACGCCTTTGTGCTACGTAAAGCACTGTCCAGCTCGAGGGTTCGCCCAACTTAGTGCAGCGACAGCATATGACGCACGCTACCGAAGCCGGATAAAGGGCACATGAATGGCATAGCCTAACCAACGTAAGCAATCAAGTTTAAGCAAACACGGCAGTGAGGCACCAAAGAATTCCCTACCAAAAACCGACTGTTGGACATCAGCCTCGCTCACCCGTTGTTTTCACAAGATATAAGCATCGGGGATCAAAAACAGCCAATCATTTAATGTTTTCACTGTGAACGGATCAATACAGTAACATCGGCTTTACCACAGCATTATACACCCTACCTTCCACAGACAGGCTGATATCCGGCCGTCTCCATAGATAGTTGAGTCACTGCAAAGCCAAACGTGCCTTCCTGATACGCGAAATAACCTCAGTGATGCGACCACCAAAGGTAACAGAGCTACTAAGGCAAGTGAATCGAACCAAACATTCTAGAGGTTGTTCGCTGATAGCTAGAACCGATGGCGTATCGGTCTAGTCTCGCAACAGCACTCAAGACTTTGAAGGTGCAAAGCACATACCGAAGCGTGCAGCACTACGCATAGCCACTGCGTCAGACCCAAGGAGAGCTATGTCGTCCGCATACTCCAGTTGTCAGTCAGTCACCTAGTAGAATTTCCACTCCAGTAGCGTCCGAAAGAACAGAGGCGTTCATGACCATTTCGATCACAAACTTGAGGAGGAAAGTAAATATGGAACAACACTGGCGAACCCCACTTGTTGTGGGGAACTCAGGAGACAGTTTCCCGTAGACCCTCACATGGCCTCGGAAGTCACGGTAGAGAGATTGCATAATGGAAAGGAATTTAGGTGGCACGCTATTCATGGATAGGCAGGGCCACAAGTTAACGTGGTCATCGGAGTCGAAGCCAAGAAAAACCGACATCGTCGGTTGTTTGCAAGTTAACGCCTTTACTGGATGATTACACGAATTAACTTTAGTCGAATCCCTGCAGTTCTGCATCTACATTACTATCGTTTAGTTCTGTAGTTGAAATCACAAATCACGGCAACTGGATCCACCGCTTTTCAGCGCTGAGATCACAGTCAAGTGGCAAAACCTGACTGAACACGTTCGTCAACAAAGTGGGTGGGTTAGGAGGCAGTTTATGTGAGTACAGGGACACGGGTTCCTGTCTCAAAAATTACCGATGGTGGATAGAAAAGGAACTCTACTACCTTGTAACTCGATAAGGGAATTGAGTGTACATACGCATTCTGTGAGATGGGTGATGAGATCGTGACGAAACGAGACGTGATCCAAGCACTTGCCCAAATCTTGAAGAGCAGCCATTGAGTCCGGAAATTCAATGATGAGTGAAAACAGATCCGGCTTTCGGACTTCATAGAACAACTGATAAACCAATTCGTCTGGTAACTGACTGGCCAGTATCCGTTGCTCATGCTTCGATTCGCCAGAGAACACGTTGAGCAACCAGAACTTTTTCATGATCGCATTCTTATATTTAAGCAACGGATCCAGAAAGTGTTCAGAGTAGCTCTGAGCACAGAGTAGTTTGATACGATGAGTCAAAGCCGTCTTGGCATAAGGGACAAATAGTTGCTTGCAACATGGAGAGAGAGTGAATGGCTGTCTTGGTAGATTTAACTGACGACCTAAGTGCAGCAAACGTTGCTTCGCTTCACACTGCTCCACGGTTAGTACAGAAGAGAACACATTGTATTGATCGCATTCCAACTCAGCTGCCTCAAGTTCAAGGCATAGATAGACGTAGAGCAGCAGATCAACTTGGTCTCGGGTATGAGGCGGGATTACGATGGAAGAGACAATGGAGTGGATTTCGTCCTGTAGTTCCGGGCTAGCAGTATGCAACTCATCGAGGCTGAAGACCTCACAGATGGTGCACAGAGTTTCAGCAATTGTGGTGTTGAGCTGAATGCACAAATCGAAAAATGAGCGCAACATGATAATAGCTGAATGGGATTGGGGAACTGGACGACAGAAATCGTCTTTTGATAGGCCAGAAGAATTCTCGAGAACGGAAACAAAGTTAGAGAACTTGGACCAGAGGCCTGAAGAATGAATTGTGGAAATCAGCTGCTCCAACAGGATGTCATTGCAAATACACGGAGAACCGAAAGTCGCCGAACATCCGAAGCTGTCAGCAAGCTTATAATGAAGCATACTGAAATGACGGACCCCAATCAGAGAGAAGACATGGCGTCCGAAAATGGATCAGCCAATAGATAACGGTATCCGCTGGAAAGATAAATGAAACATCCTTGAGAAAATGCAACGGGATGAACTGGAACTCAACACCATGGTCGCACAAATAGAAGTGATGAGAAAGTAGCATCAACAAGCATAAAACCCCACATTGAGTCAACATTGTTCTACAGTTGTTCATACTGGTGACAAACCGCTTCGTAGACAATGTGTACACACGCACAAAAGTTTATTTTCAAATAGTGTGTACTAATGTACACACACCCTCATGTTTATAATTGACAATAAACGACCGAAACTTTTCCTTCAGTATGTTAAGAAATCTAGTACATCACTAACAAGATAATAATGTTTTGAGTCAAAGTTCTCACTTGTGTACGAAGGGGTTAAGTGTGGTGTATTGGCGACTCGTAAATGGAAACACTCAACTGAGTCTAGGTTTGGTGAAATGTACGCTGAAAGCCACCGGCGAGAACCAAAATGGCAAAATGCAGGGCACTGTACAGAATGATAGGAGTGAAATGAACAACCCCTTGTTGGTCCATCATTGATGCAATTCGCAAATGGCTTTCCCTTCTGTCTAGCAATGCTCGCGAACCATATTCGAGTGGACCATCATCGCGATCTTCTAAGTCACGTACATTTCCTCGTGATCCTGCGTGTGATAAGCATTTGTCGGTGTACTAACCTCCCCCAAAAGTGCTTAACAGACATTGATGATATCTGACTGATCGGCGATTCAATATCTTTTTGTTCAGTCCCTACAACTAATTAGCTACCGCTACCGCAGGCTTAAAAAGAACGAGGTGCAACTTCGGCAAACGCTTATGCACGGATAGACCCGTAACGCTGAAACGAGACCAACAACTAATCCATGAAGACACATGATGAGAGAGTACCCCGGGGCCACGGACAAGATAAGACAAACGTGGAAAACGACGGTAGGAAATGGGCTTGTCTTTAGTCGCAGAAAATGAAAATGAACCGCCGCTTCGCTCCCCAGGGATAACAGAGTTTGGATGTAGAAGCAATTCATTATCAATAACCAAATACGTGACGAAACTTTTAAATGGGTCACATGAAAGAGAGAAGGATTTGTATACAGAAAGTGGGGAACATAAAAGGGGGCAAATCGACCTTTCGACGATGGAATGTGGAAAAAACATGAGGAATTCCAATTCGAGCTATAAGAGTGGTTGACAAAGAATATCAAACGAAATCCAATGCGAGGAGACCACCGATATATTGGCAATGAAAACATGCGTGTACTTTGCTGCTAAGTTGAATCGGATGGATTGTGAACGGGCTGAAAATGTCGAATACCAGTTGGACACTTTGGCTAGTGTGCTCACGAAGAAATAATGACTAACCATGATAAATGTGATTCGCGCTATTCATAGCGTGCAATATACGAACGATGGCCGCATTAGTTTTTGCACACGCCAAGGTAAACCCAAGTACTGATTGGAGGTGGAGCCGAAATCAAACACCTGTCGAAAGGGATCAAGAGCACCTAGTGCCAGGACCGACGTACCCGAGGGCAGTAAGTGTTGAGATGATAGCGTTTCCCTGATAAAGGCCACATAACATGGGAAGAGTGAGGTGAGATAGCCTTCAAGCGCCAAAGTAACTAGGTGGTACATAGAAAATGCTGTTGCCCAAGTGTGGTTGTACGTGCGAAAGCTACAGTCACAAAAACGGAATACATAGAGACAGAGCAGATAGCAAAGGAGAAGACTCAGTTGGCACAGTTACATAGACAATAAAGAATGTTTCTGTACCGGTGCGGAGTATAATTGGATTCACTGGCTAAAATGAGAAAGCCGACAGGAGTTAAAGCAAAGTGTGATTTGGGAAATCTCATAATGCCTGGCGCAACAATGAATCCGAAAAGACGCGTCATCTGTGCACAGAGAAAGAAATACCGAAGGCGTTGGCATAAAATGGTAAAAGATCCGCAATAGAGGTGAGGTGCACGCAGGATTGATGTGAACGAAGAGACCAGAATGTACACACCATGGATAGGTTATAGACAAGGTATAAAAAAGAAGATACGAATGAGCGGGTATCATGTAATTAAAAGAGACATGTACATACGCATGGCGTTACAGGAAGTGTCTGGACCCATGTCCAAATCGACTGGAAAGCTGTTTTGAGTGATGGATCAGTGCCTGACGAGCAGCAGGATCCATTAGATGGCCCTTCAAGTCTCTGTCACGATCGAACGGCCGCCTCGTGGGCTTTTCAGGTGAACGAGAGATCATGGTGTCTGACTTGTGCTTCTTGTGCTGTCAAACCGTAATGGTGGGATACCAAAGACACTCACCTTGGACTTGTGCTTCTTTCGTCTCTCCTTTTTAGACTCTTTTTTATTTTCTTTGACTGACTTCTTTTTGTGAAGGTCTAAAAGGCTCGCTCGACCCGTACTTGTCTACCATGTCAGTAGTCGCCTGGCACATAAAATGTAAGCTTACTTGAGTTTTGCATAGCATTTCGTCCATTCTTTTGTCATATTCCCGATCGGCTTCGCGTTCCCATGACGTCACCGCAGTTTGCTTCTATAAAATAGTGGAAAAAAGGCGGAATTAGTCGCAAGTTCGATTCGTGTCGAATGATTAGCTGTGCTCTCGGCTCCACAGTGGGGAGAATCAGGTCGCTAAAGATTAAGTTGCCAGGATAATAAGATTAAACAGTAAAGAAAGACAAAGCAAAATGGAAAGCAAAGGGCCGAAACGTCTCAACTGTCTGATTGAAGTAAAAGTATGTGAACAAAGAAACCGAGAGCTGGCGAACCAACGCGGTATGTCATACAGGACCGGTCTGGAGACTTCACTCATGTTAGTACAAGTCAGTGTGAAACTAAAATTAGGTAAATATTGGTCATGTTCTTCGTCAATTTATTTCATGGCCGCACCGAGGGGCATGATTGACAGGTTGAGTAATCAGAAGAACATAGTCGGTAGCTACATGAAAATCCAAGGAAGTTGTACGGTTCGAGGGACATCTGCTGTGCTTCCACTGGGCGTTGGTAGTAAGAAACGAATGGATAATTAATACTTGCACTTCCTAACTGGTATGGCTTTGGTCTACACATTGACACTGAACCTATTGGTGAGTTGTGCACCCCAAGTCTGCAAGATGAGATAGTGTTTCCTGCTCTTTCTAGGCAACTGGAGCTTAACAACAACGGCAGCATCAGCAACAACAACAACAACAACAAGAGTACATCAGTAACCTAAACTGATGCTTCGCGTTGGTACAAGCACAATGGAACAGAAAGTGAGGGATAACAATAGAATAGAAGGGGACTAAAGTAGTGTTTAAACGCTCTAAGCGAACATTCAGGGTCGAGGTGTTTACGCATTGTTAATATCACACGATCAAGGGACTTGGGAGAAGTGTGGTCGCACCAAATTAGCTTGATATAAAAAAGCCACGCAAAAACCGCAAAGTAGTACGGTTCTTGGCAGAGAGTGACAACTAGTTACCTCCAACGGGTACAAGTGCGTCGTCGAGTTCAAAAATGAGGACAAAATATCGCATCGAACTATGTATACACGGAGCATTTACCTCTACTGTTTCAGCACAACTCGGGCCGGAATCAACAGAACCTGGTACCTTGAACCACGAGCTATCGCAAGCACCAGAAGCCGACGCGATCCTTTGCTCAAACTTCCTTGCTTTCAAAGCCCCAGCTTCACGGGATATGGGCAATAGCTCCGTCATCCAAGCATCTCGTTTGAGTTTAACTTTATCCAATTCGCCCGGATCATTTCGATTCGTCTGAGGGGAAGACAATTAGTGGGGAGACGAAAAGGATAAATCAGGTAGGTCTCTGTGACCTAGAAGACGATGCTCGCTTGCCTTCAGACATAAGTAAACCGAAGGAATGAATACCATAAGCAGGAGGCATAAAACACAGTTTCAGGTAGGAGTTGTAAAAGCACATCAGAACATAGACCAAGAACACATTCAGATATTGAGTGGCAAGATCAGGTAGGGAAGCATGGAACTACGAGGTGGTAACTTTAAGTGGAGCGCAGTATCGCATAGTAAATCTGAAAACACTGCCCACTAAAAATTAATCCAGTCTGGAAATCAGGATGAAATCTACACAGTCATACTTCATCAGAATGTAACTACCAGCGGATTTATATGACCCATATACTTATGCACTGGGGTTACGGGGCGATCGGAAGAGGTCAATTGGTGGTCCTGGCTGAGACGTCAAAACAAACGTATCACAAAGGTTAAGGACAAACTGAAACCGTTGTCTCTGCCTGAAACTGTTGTCTCGGCACATAACAGAAGTCTTCAAATAACGCCTAGATGCTTGTCTCTTGCCTCGTTAGTCATTCATGTTGAAAGACTTGGGCCATTCGCTAAGCTAGCTGTTAGGGTAACTACTTTCGACACACTAGATCGCAGCACTCCTCTTATCCAAATCCCCACAATCAAGACGCTGGATATCTGTGCCCCACACCACTACCGAGTCGCAATCTACAACACTTGGAGCCTACCGTAAGACCTTGCCGTAAGACCCCGAGGCAGAACCACCGGAAAGCAAAGCTTACTCTTTCTGCACAAACGCATGAAACCAATGAAAACAAACGAGCAATAGTCAGCTGAAAATGAACCGATGAGCGCAGATATACAAGGAATTTATGATATGCGAAAGCGAGAAGACACATGCGTATACCAAAGTTGAAATGGCGGCAGGAAATAGATGGAAGCCAGAAGAGAATTAATGTTTGAGCTTGAATAACATTCACCGTTAAAAAGATGCGGGCTCACAAAGCGGAAAGAGGTAACAGTAAATGAATTGGAATAGGGCCCTTGAAATTCCGAGTTGGGACGGAGGTCCATGTCATCACGTGAGGAGTGAAAGAAGACATTTTCTATGCAAACATAAATGGAAACACTCGATAACTACAAAAACATTTGTAATCAGGTTAGTAGCGCCAGAACACCGGTAATGCATCCATATGGAATTCATCAAAAGTGCGATTTCCATCAGTTAAGCGTCAAACCCTAAGAGCGACCACGCTGTTGCGCAATCGAACCGGAGCAACGGTCGATGCAACCAATCGGGGCAGTTGGGACACCAACTGATGTGCGGCACAGCCCTTCATTCGTATGTGTAATGCCACTGACTCGGATAAGGGGAGGCTGAGCAACTTTTATCGTGTCAGAGTAACGTACTGCGGCGCAAGCTAAGCATCGTACCATAACGTCAGGAAAAACAGTAGACCCGAGATCAGTGGTGTTTGTTGGTAGTTGGTACGTCAGTCTAAACAGCTTCATCACATGTGCCACTCCCATCAGTTCAATGCAAGTGATCAACTATGATCCGAACAGCGAAGTGCGGTGGATCCAGCTGCCAGCACTCACATGGCAGTATTAACAATAAGTAACAACAGCAAAATAGTGGGGTTAAAGGCAAATAGAATGTAAAAATGGAAGCAAGCAGGAAATGCATTAGGCTAATTAGAATAGAACGAAAATTAACAGACAGATGCAAGAAACCGAATGTAGGTACGCCAGTGATTGTGCCATGTCTGATACGGTTTCAAACCATAGGCGTGGACCACCACGAGGTCCCCATCCACGAAGACGCCGCGCACCAGCCTAATAAAATCTCTCGGTCAATTTCTTCATGCCAGTATGCCACGTCACGGACTGGCCACCTCGCGGCTTCACCCAGCCTGGTGCAGCCACGGCGTATAATGCACGACGAGAAAGCCGGTAAACGGCATAGGGAAGACACGTTCTAGCCAAGGTAAACGATTAAGTTTCAGTAAACACTTCAATGAGGTACCAGAAGGCTTTTGCCAAAAGCAAACTGGCGGACCTCAGTATTGCTCACCCGGTGTTCCCACCAGACGTGTAATACTCCGCAAGCACCGATAGTCAAACACGAACAAACGTTTAATGTCTGCCGCGAACGGCCTAGGTCACTGATCCATGTAGTAACACCGGCCTTACCGCAGCGTTATACATCTTACCTTTCACTGACAGTCTGCTATCCCGTCGTCTTCATAGATAGCTGAGCCTCTGTAAAGTCAAATGAGCACTCCTGATACGCGAAATAACTACATCAGTGATGCGACCACCAGAATTGACAGCTAGCAAGCTAAGTGAATCGATCATCCGATTCAAGTGGATGTTCGGTGATAGCCAGATTCCGAGGTATGTCGATATACTTCTGTAGCAGTGTAAAAGCACATACCGAAGCGTGCACCGCTACCCAGCAGTCTAGCCACTGCGTCAGATCAAAGGTGAGTTGCCATCCGCATACTCCACGTTTGCCAGTCGGTCGACGGACAGAACTCCGGGAGGGTTTGAAAGAAGGAAGTCACTCATGGTTATTTCGATCACAAATTTGACGAGGAAAGTAAATATAGTACAAACCTGACGAAACCCTACTTGTCTTGGGGAATTCGGAAGACAGATTCCCGTAGACCCTTACATGGTCTCGGAAATCATGGAAGACTTAAGAATGGAAAGGAATCTAGCCGGCACGCCCTTCAAGGATAAGCAATGCCAAAAGCTTGCGAGGTCAACAGTCGAATGCAACTTTCAAGCCAAGGAAAACCACCATTGTCGGTCGTCTGTATGCATGTCAGTGTCCTAAAACGTGGTGAAGAGTAAATATGTGATCGATGCAACCACGACCAGGGCGGAAGCCAGCCTGACTTTCAGTGAATCGGTTCTCACGCAGAATAGTAAGTCGTCGGCGAATGATACCCATGTGGAGTTTGGATGCAATGGAAATGAGGGTACTGCCTCGATGATTATCGCACAAAGTGCGCTGACCCCGCTCCAAAGAAGAAAGCAGTATAACCACTTTGGTTGCCGCCAATAGTTCGCAACTTACGTGACACAGGAAACGTTACAAAGAAATCAATCATGCTGGAATGTAAGCAAAATGAATTCATTAGAAAGTGAGACGGTGGATGGAGACTAAGGAGAGGGTGTTTACCGATACAGCAACCGCAGCAAGTCGTAGAGGATCCCTTTCAGGATGTGTATGCGCACACGCCCAGAGAGACTGCGAAAACAACTGTGGTGTCGAAAACTTTCCTGCCTCGGATAAGGAAGCAGTAATCGGAGTACCTTAGTTCTACTTGAAAATACAGTTAGGTCAAGAACGAGAGTGCAAACCGTAATGAAAATAGGCAGAGTACACAAATCCACAGCCAATATGAGAAGCAAGCAAGCCCGGCTCCAAAAGTATACATCGAATGTCATGAAGGTCAACGTGTAATATCCAGAGTCACTAAAATGGCAGGGATAAATAGAGAAGAAAAAGTTCACCAGAAGTGCAAAAATATATCAAGGCGCAGATTCGAAGCAGTTAAAATAATAGTATAAATCCGAAATTGTAGTAAACTTGCGCAGCGGTGTCACGTCACACACAGATATATATATATATATATATATATATATATATATATATGCATATGTATGTATATGCTGAGGCTGATAGTGCATTCATGATGCTTCTTCACCGCAGTTGGGCTAAACCAACTTACACTTAAACTAGGTCTTTTTAATGTGGATAAAATTCATTACATATTATTTGGTTTGTTCTGTCTACCTGATAATTTTCTCCTAACTTGTACACATCGCTCAAGTGTGGCACACTTGCGTAACTTTTATCACGTGGTATTTTTAAAATAAGTTTTGGACATTTTGTACTTATCGTGGATTCGCCAACAACCAATTTACTCCATATACTGATTTAGTGAGTAGTTACGCCGTCATACACGTTTACGTTATCCGGTATATTTTAAGTGATATCGGCATTTCGAAAGATTGGCTGTTGTTTGACATCCCAGGTGTGTCTGCGCTTAATGTGCAAGTTGACAAGGTGCCTACCTGTCCATTACCCACTACCTCGTCCATACTGGTTCCATGCTTCTTCACCGCAGTTGGGCTAAACCAACTTACACTTAATCTAAGTCTGTTTATGCTGCATAGATAGCATTCCACTATATTCCGTTTGTTCTGCTACCTGAATAATGTTTTATTAACTGGCCACGTTGTGTACGCTAATTGTGATCATTTTAGTTATATTTATTGCGTTTGTAGCAATTTTTGCATAACTTGTGGGAATTTTGCACTTGTTGCGGATTCGTTACTAACCAAGTTACTTCATATGCTAATTTATGGAAGACATATGCGTGCATAGCCGTATGCTTTGACAGATACATCTTATCTGATAATGTCATTTCAAGTGATTGGCTGTTGCTCGATATCCCCAGTCTGGCTGCGCTTGATGTGCATGTTGACAAGGTGCCTACCTGTCTATTAATCACTACATCGTCCATACTGGCTCCAGGAGACAGTTAAGCATTGCTGGAGGGGACGGGGTGCACGGTCGTTGTGCCCGTGCTCTGCTCAAAGAGTGGTTCCATGCACTCAGTGTGGAGCGGACTACGGTTCAGCCACCACCTTGTGTGCGCCTGATTTTCCAAATGCAGTGTGCTTGTGTTTGCCTGTGAAGGAGCGTGGGACGGCTCCGTTGATGAAACGCGGATCACATCCACGTGCCTCCCGGTCTTATTCCTTCGGGTTTACACTGGATATGGGGTGAGCGGTTGGAGCTGTGGGTGGTGCAGTGCAAGCCACGCATGGTCCCTCTGTGGGCCCAGGGGTCCTGTGGCTGGCCAGTGACAGCCAAATATAAAATCGGATGCCGCGAACCATGTATGTACGTGTGCTCCATGCTGAGGCTGGTGTTGCATTCATGATGCTTCCCCACCGCAGTTGGGATAAACCAAGTTGTACTTAAACTTCGTCTTTTTACGCTGGATAAATTTCATTTCACTTTACTTGGTTTGTTCTGCCTACCTGAATAATCTTTTATTAACTGGCCACGTTGCGTACGCTAATTGTGGTTATCTTCGTTAACTTAATAGCATTTGTATCATTTTTTGCGTAACATGTGGGAATTTCGCACTTATCGCAGATTCGTTGCCAAACACAGTGTACAGTCTATCAGAGCGGGAAGCAGTTTGATTCACCGTGCCACGCAGGAAAAAGCTAGATGAATGTCCACGCTGGTTGGTAATGTCGCTAATCGAGGCTGTGTGCAGAAGAAAATACCGACTGCTAAACTCAGTGGGACAGGAATGAGCTAAAAACATGCCTGACAGGTAATATGGTCTTGATACGTTTTTAGTATGAACATTATTGCCCCAGTTAATGGCAAAGGTGTGGGCGAATTGTCTTATATCTAATCGGTTAATGGCAAAAAACGGGCCTTGTCTATAATGGTTGCAATGTCAAAGGCAACGGAAACGTAGACTGAAACATGGAAAATACAGAAAGCCATCCTTAGCTACAAAATAAATGGGCAGGATCAGCACAAACAAAGCGTTTGCGGAGATCTGACTGTGCAGCTTACGTTATATATCTGATAGGATAACGACACGATCGGCACAACTGTATCTATAACAATCGGAGAGAATGAATCTTGAAAAAACTTATGTCACCTCTACAACCTAACTACGATAGTCCCGTGCAAGAAATAGGTCCATATCTAGTTACTTATCGAGGTTAACTTTACCATCTTGAAAGTAAGCATGAGTTTGACCTCTGCTGCGCAGCAAAGTTACAACGATACCTGATTTACCGTCGAAATGTACCGGTACTCCCAAAGAAGGAAGTTCAGCCGATCGCGGCAAACTACCACTGATTATAATAACTGTTACACTGTTACATAGGCAGAACCGATAGGTCCCCGACTTCCCGAATAAAGGAACACGGGAAACGTTGGGTTCAATGGGAATAATAATAATAATAATAATAATAATAATAATAATAATTAAAACAGTTTCCTTAAGTAACTTGAAAAGCACAATTAGAAGATGAAGCTCGGCAGATGCATGCATTTCGTATCGTCTCATCAGTGCCGATAACGATAACCGGTAATTTTATGTAAGAGTTTGTGGGTACGACATACATACAAACGAAGAAGAGAAAAAAGGGGGTGTCTTTGTTCTACAACCAGGGCAGCCTGAGGCTGACCGATAATTGTTTTTGCACACAAAGCTCTGGCTTAATCCGATTAATGGCAATAGCCTCGGCAAACCGGAGGAGCCGGGAATTAGTATGGCGAAGCAGGATTCGAAACGCCTTGTTGACCTCATGTGTACGCACGCCGCCAGCATCTTCGATCGGCAGACACTTATTGACATCGGGTCACCGAATTGAGGTCAACAAGGCGTTTCGAATCCTACTTCGCCATACTAATTCCCGGCTCCTCCGGTTTGCCGAGGCTATTGCCATTAATCGGATTAAGCCAGAGCTTTGTGTGCAAAAACAATTATCGGTCAGCCTCAGGCTGCCCTGGTTGTAGAACAAAGACACCCCCTTTTTTCTCTTCTTCGTTTGTATGTATGTCTGTACCCACAAACTCTTACATAAAATTACCGGTTATCGTTATCGGCACTGATGAGACGATACGAAATGCATGCATCTGCCGAGCTTCATCTTCTAATTGTGCTTTTCAAATAATAATAATAATAATAATAATAAATAATAATAATAATGTGTCTGCTGTACGCCGTAATAGCGCTTCGCAGCCGTGCGACCACCACCAGTCGCATGCAGGCTGAGTATACTTTAAGGACGCCCACCCCTACGCGGATTCGAACCCGAGCTGCAAGATTATGAGACAAGCTCGTTCAATGGGAAAGTAACCGCCGGCCTACTGGCTAAAGCAAAGACCAGCGTTAAACAGTTTGCAGGATCACCCTAATCACAGGTTCTTCCGTTTCGCTGTCTAATAAGTTGTGTTCAAAAAGACTCACTTAGCAACCGTAGGCTGTCATAGACATACGGGTTGAACTTTCGCCATGCTCGTTGCAACTGAAGTTTTTTAGGTCACACCCACAGATATGTAATTATTTATCGGCTATCGGTAAAGGTACTAACAACACAATATGAAATGCATGTATCTACAAGCTTTCGTTTCTTGCTGTTTAGTGGCGCAGTTACATGGGATGCGAGCTTCTGACGCACAGCAAGTGTCAATCTTAAGGGTGAAGAATAGATGAAATGAGCGAATGTCGGTTCACCTGACAGCCATCATCATCATCGTCGCGTGACAGTGGGCATAAACGTTGGAATAACCAGTGTAAAACGGACAGGTGGGACAAGAGAAGTACAGAATGGTAGAGAAGTAGTGCCCTACCGTAGCTTGATGAGGTAGATGGGGCATGCTTATGTGACATTTAGAAGCAAGAGAACAAAAAGAAGTAATTCGAAGCAGATGCTATATTGCGGGAAAGGATAGTATCAAACAGTCCAAGCTCAGGTAGGAGATTAGCAGGTAGTTCCATGCCTAGATGCAAGGTAGCGGAGAGTCTAGGACTAAAAAAGCGGATGAATAATGATACAGCGCTCAAAGTGTTGCGTTTGTCTGATTCTAAAACCCTGGACATATAGACTGTAATGAGAAGGACGTTCAGTAAGAGCTCTGCGGGTATGCAGAGCAAGGCGAACTGCTGCACTCAGATTGAAGCATGGCTGTGCACCAGCACACTAGGATAATATTTCGCCATCATGAAACCGCAAATAGTCGCATGCGGACTGTGATACTGCCAAAGCGCAGATGTTGAAAGCCAGAGGTTTGAACCACCGCGTGGTAGATCGCCTAGGAATACCACTGTGTAGAGCATTATGGTACACACCGCCTGTGATCGAGGGATGATAACGTAAACAAATGGGTTCCACACAGCTGCGCTCTGACATTGCCGTATCCAGAAGAACAATGGACGACAGTTCCGTCTACTTGAGACTCGCCAGAAGTGACAGTCTGCTCTGGTTGTTGGTGGGCTAAGGCCCATGTCCCTCTACTCATTAGGCAGCGACTCAAGCCATCTAGTCAAGTAAGATGGTGGCATCTGTTAAGTAAAATGATTGCGTGCGACATATCACCAGTGTTCTATAGATTAAACCGACTGGGAATATATGAACACAGGAGTATACACAGAAACAAGAGAAGGTGAAACACTATTTCACGCACATCAGTTCGCAGGTAGAAAACGGTCAACGGTTCATACTGTAAGTTGAATACCAATAAAGCGTTAAATAGTCAAAATACTTAACCGTGCACAAGGAGTAATATGGGCTTCGCGAACAAATAAATGCTCACAGGTCCTGATTTGAGGTGTCGGAATTCTTCCTGTAACTCCTGTCCAGGAACCAAAGGACCGATAGTGGCCAAGTTCTCAGCACGTGAATCCTCAGTGTCATCCCAGGTCTTGTTCTCTTGCATAATTTTTGATTTGAAAACATCCAGGGGTAGAGCAGGCCCGATGCCTCCAACAGGGCAGACATCATCAGCCTCTAAAGACGGGCCAATCAAGCGAGACGAGCCTTGTACATCGTCAGAGCTGGAAGCCATTGAAGCGAGGCAAAGTTGGGTACATGCAGAAGCTGAAATCGCAAAATCGACGTATATTTTTCGAACAAACGAAGCATAATCGCTACGAGAGAACTGGAAACTGTTTCCTATGTGCATCAAGCAAATAAAAAAGAATGCGGGATGAATCGATGTAAAGCGGCGGGTGTGAGCATTGCTTATGTTAAGGGCAATTAAAGGAGAAGCTACAGAAAGACCGAGCAGCAAAGTTAAAAGGTGGCACGAAAATGAAATGATGCTCAGAACTGTGGGAACAACAGATAGCATGCCAGCAGCCTATGGTTCGAAGGTCAACTAATTCATGTCGCATAGAAAAAATGCAGGGAGATAAATGAGTGAAACACACGAATGACAAACAACGCCAGGCAAGCTAAATGCGATTCGGTACCGTGGAGCGGTAAGCAACGATGAAAGCCAACGTTTTTCAATGGGGACCGCAAGAGAAAATTCACGCCCACAGAATCACCATCTAATAATCGAAGATGGTACAACCGGTAGAGAAATTAAAGTTCTTAAAAACAGGAAAGGCATGTGACAGGAAAATTAGTAGGTTTCGATGTGGACTGACTGTTAAGAGTAAAAGGTTCAGGTTTCAGGAGGGAGCATTTTAATACCGGCAATACATTGTATCCACACTGCGACTAAGGCACCGTCTGCCAAACACCAATTCGCATTAATTCAAACGGGGAACAGCGGTTTGATTACACGTGGGGCTGCCGATCCCTCAATGCGGGGGTTAGCTATAGCCCTAAGGATAAATCAGTGAAGCTTGTGTGTCAGAGGAGAGCAGAACGTGGAGTCTGCAAAGCAGATGACATGTTGCTTGTCGGAAAACCAGAGAAAAAACACAACGACGCTGATTATTGAGTCACTTAAACTGAACCTAAGCTGTTGGTGATCGCTGACCAGATTGGTTTCCTAAGGCATTGTCCCGACGAACGTGAATCGAGAGCAGTTCACTTGAAAAGTCAGCGAGTAACTTGGATCGAGTGATTTGCGCCAGTAAGAAGGGAAAAAACTAACAGGTAATAAGATCGGGAGAGACTTAATTTTAGGAGGTGACTTAATTAGGTAAAATAATCTTCAGCCTAAAGAACAAGTGGCGAACGTTGGCAACATTCAAGTTGCTGCTGATGCGTTGATCAGAGATGTCGATCAACAAGGGAAGCGTAAGCAAATATTCAGGGAAACAAAGCGAATAAAATGCAGAAAAGTAGAAGAAATGTCACCCGTTCAAGGTAAAAAAAACACCAATGAGAGTGATAGAAGAAAGAAAACTCGCGTGTGTAACAATGAGTGGGAGCAAGAATAATCAAAGCGCCGCGGACAAAAATGTTTGCGATACCGGTGACGCCCCCAGAGAACTGGATACAATCCAGTTGGGCAATCATCACTGAAGTGTCGGATTGGAGAGGATTTGGCTGCCACGATAAGTATCGTCATAATAAAAAACAAGAGAGGAATGTGAATCGAGCAAGGAAACACTATACAGATACAAAGAAACATAGCAAAAAAGGTGTAAAGATGTATAATCATGAGCAGTGGGTTACAGCCTGAAAGTCATTGTGTGTAAGCAAACGGAATTACGTGGGCTTAAGCATTGCTGTGAAGAGGTATGAGATGCGAAAGCAAACAAAGTGGTCATCTGAGTTTAAAAAATGAAAATGTGGCGGCCATGAGCACTGGACCGCGTGTACAATCAGGTATGAATTCAGCTGTGATTTCATCGAGGAAAGAATATGGTTCTATGCTAATACTGTGTGGGAAATTGAACTGAAGGAACAGCGGACATGTGGCTACTTCGGAGGACGATATGTCTCTGACACACAGTATCAGCGGTTCTTACACGAATCTATGCGCCAATCTACCGACTGCATGCGGTTCTGACTAAAGCAGCTGACAACTAGGTAAGGTACTGTGAACCACGCGCAGCTAGCGAGAAACACTGAATCCGATCTAAGCGCTCGACCACTTTCTTCAAACTGAGCAAAGACCGTAATCTTCAAGTGATGTTAATAACCTGTTACTGCGCTCGTGTTGACAATCTTAAAGGATGTTGATCCAACCAGGTCCATCTGCACGTACAGCAATCTAACACCAACTGCATGGATATGCGTTACTGCAGGTCACGCACATGGAGAGGTTCATTGTACCATATTTGCTAGCAGATCGCATGCGCTTGAAATGGCGATGACGTACCGAAAACGAACTGGTCCGTTGCAACGAAAACGCAGACATTTGAATAGGAAGAGATAAAGGGAGGAGATCGATAAGTCAGGAACTTCTTGTCAGCTCGTGATGGACGTGTCAAAAGCAGGCAAGCCATCACGGTTATGAATATCACAGAGACAATCAAGTGTGGACGGGAGATTGGTTCATAAACAGCGGTATTGCACAAACCATCGCGGCGAACGAAAGCCCAGTAACCCAATCTTCGGAAGGAAACACACAATAAAAAGCAGAACTACGAAAACAGATATATTGGCATGGGATAGGTCGCGAAAACTACAGGTTGAACGTGGTGTTAGTGAAAAAAAGAAAAAGCAGTAAAGAAAATATAGGTAAGCAGAAATCGTCAGCAGAGAAATCGCCAGATGAAGCTGAAAAGCGCTTTTCTTAAAGAGTTCCTTACACAGTAGAAGATAAAGCACAATACACTTGAAATATAAAGTATAAAAATAGTGGACTGCTTGGGTAAAAAGCAAGTAACCGTGGCATGTTCTGTAGGGGACACTGTGAGCTGTGGTGAGGGAGAAGTAAACGAGGAGGGAAAAATAGTTGTAAATTAAACGAGCTTCATTTGTAAGATGGCGGGTGTAATATCATATATGTGTGAAGGTGCAAGGTAGTACAGACTACTTTAACAAGCGCCAGTGGGTTGTTAGCCAATCAAAACTAGCAATCATTAGCCGAAAGTGCCATGAAATATATTGTCGACTGAGGAAAAGTAGAACTCAAGACGTTTGCATAAAGTCGAGTTGTAAAGCGCGGGAGGAAATTGCGAGCAGGTCAACTGGAGAGAGGAAATTAAATCAGCAACAGCAATAAATCATAAATTCGAACTAATGATTCCATGTTGTACAAGCACAGTGACCAAAAGGATGAGAAAGTGAGAGGACTTAGTATAAAAACTAGATGCCCCAAGCAGACAATAAACATAAAGGTGATTACACCTTGTCAATAACGCATTGTCACAAACAGCTGGTTATCATGCGAAAACAAGGTGGCATCGGCGAGACACTAAAACTAAGACATTTAATGTAAAGCATCATAAGCAGGTTTAAAACACAGACAATGCAGTACGAGACACCATTTAAACAGATAGTCCAATTAGAAGACAATAACAAAGGTTCGAGACTGCAAATCATTCTGCAAAGTCCGGGGCGGGGGGCAAGAACAAGACGGGTAGCGGGGACTCTTGTCTCGAAACAGAGGCGGACGAGTAACGCCCAGTTTGTCGTCAGTGACGTCACTTCCAGGGAAAACAACGCTCAAAAGAAAACATCGCATTTCATGTCAACAAGAGCAAACGGCCGATAATGAATGGATCCATTAATGAGAGTAATAATGCAGTGGCATGGGTGGAGCCACATCGAGTTCGTGAATGATCCGAGCGCTTAAAATGAAGCACTGGAGTAGCAATGATAATACAAAGATAAACAGTTTGGAAAGGACGGCCGTGCGCGAATATAAACAAGCGGAAAATACGGATTACGACCAAACAAGGCGACGCAGCTAGGAACCATGTATCGGAATGATGCAAGTTGTATTCTGTTGTTCTGTCCAAAAATGGCGGACCGTAGTTAAAAGCGATGGGTGCCAACCTCAGGATAGTATGAGAGATGTGCATTTTGGAACGAAATGTCATTGGTCTATCTCGTAAATAAGCTATCGAACAAATGATCACAACGGTTCCAGCTCCGGTATTGCACGCAACAGGATCTGATAGTCTGGCTATGTATTACGCATCTCAGTGCACCGGTTCCTGAGTCATGCGCTATCCGCACAACCGGGGTGTAGATGGAAGGAGGGGAGAACGGCCGATAACTTACAGAGATGAATGAAAGCTGTCGCTTCGAAGTTGGCCTCGGACAATGCCACTCAACTCCCAGGTCTGGGTCTGACAGGCGACGAACACGAGTGGCCGGATACACTTACATGACGACCAGCCTGCATCAATGGCATTTGTGTCGTAAGTTTCTTTGTCCCTCAAACTATCGCTAGCTCAGTCTTGACGCATGGCATTAAAGATTATTTCGCCATGTTGTTTGTTTGTCGTTCCTTTATATTACCATCTAAACGGAATGCACCGCGGCACAACATGTGAGAGGTTTTCTCCTCCCAGCCAATGGAATTGACGATTTCATTCATGACTGCAAGCGCTAATGAGGCTCCTAACAGCTGATTTGGTAATGGGTGAGTTCGTCACGGCTTCAGTGTTCCACAAAGTAGTAGTATAAAAGGCGAACAAATGTTACAAACACTGGATGATGGAATAAGGATAAGTGACCCTAGTAGCGCCATCGCGGCGAGACTGGACGTTAACACGATGCGATGATTTGCGCGTTTCAACGATCCACTGAGCCAATCATACCAGATTGGTCCATGGTTAGAGGGCAGACTAAGTGTTTCGCCCTTCAGATTGGCTTATTACTCCACCAAAAGGACTACATGTAGCCCACTGTAAAACTCCAAATGCGTTGCGGTCGGGCTTTTGAACCAAAGGCATTGGTTGAGAACCATAATCGTACTTCTATCTAGGTTTTGGTGACCAGACAGTATCATGATCACGCAATATAATTAACTCTTCCACAAAAGATCGCGTGATGCATTGACCGCCACAGAAAATAATCAAGTCTGATGCAACGAGGGTGGTGGAAGGTGGTGGGAATGTCATTGCTAACTTTTTCCCGTCTTCTTATTCACCCTTTTACGCTTTTTCATCCTGTCCTATTCCAACTTAAATATTATTTTATCTCTCCTCAATACTCCAATTCTTGACGCCACATCACCTTGCAGCGAAAGACGTTTGTCTTCTAGTTTCCATTCATACGCAACCGCAGGGCGCAGCTCCGGTCCAGTCGACAAGTCAATGTTCAACCAAGCGGAAAACGGGCAACCACATTTCGTACGCTGCTACCTGGAGCCCTAGATCCTCCATAAGATTGTAATGCTTCAATGTGAGCATTTGGTTACAGATTGGTCAACAGGCATCACTTAACTCAGGAGTGCAGACCGGTTCGATCGATATCTGCTGCTTATCAGAAACCCGCCAACAAGACTCGAGCGCAACACTCACTGTTCAATTGCTTGCATGACACACTGGTGGTACTTTCTCATTGCGTCTATTCGGAGACAATGCACATTCAAACGCCTGGCAAGCGGGTGGGGAAATTGCTCGAGTTCCCCAGGTTGAAGCTTCTTCGAACGATTGGATTACACTTAGTAGTCGGATGTGCACCATGCGACTAGCTGCCTCGTTCAAAACTTCCTGGTCGCGCAACGATAACACGTGCTTATTTGTCACGGTTACATACGTAACCACAAACAGTATCTCTGTTTAAATGTGAGATGAATACTAAGTGAACGAGCTCCCTTGTTACAGAATAAACAAGGGTACTGTAGAGTTGGCTAGTGATCAAAAGTCTCAAGTTTGAAAATAGTCTACTGATGAGTTGCACCTGGGTGACCAATAAGTCGTAGCCTCCTGTAGTGATAACGGTAAGCAGTTGTTACACCTATGCCATGATACTCGTTTATTTCTCATGAGCACTAACTTCTGACACAGCATCCGCAGAAGGGTAAGAATGAGCTCACCAGTCATGAATGCAAGTAGATAAAATCGCGATCAGTTATTGTAAGAGAGAGGGCTAGCAAAACTGCCGATCCATTTGAAGCACTATGAACCTATATGTTTCGAGTTGCCGGTGCGTTTTGGAGGACACCAGCAACGACGCTGCGAGCACATGGCAACCCCCCCCCCCCAATTGGTGAATACAGTGGTTCTATATGCATATCAAACTATAATAGGATGCGGTTTAGTTGGGCGCTAGGAGAAGTCATTGGAAGTCACTGGTCATGTTCGCCAGACCTCAATTACAGCACACATGTGTTCATGTTGTAAACCTAATTGCAAACCTAAACATTGGTTCTCTACGTCGTCTCTGAACCTTGCGGATGCTGACTGGCACATTTCGGCTTGAAGAGAAAACAATGAGGCTCGCGATGACTCCATGACAAGAAATGCGTGCTAGCCTGAAAAAGGCCCCACCGCGTAATGGAAATGGAAACGGCCTCTGCACTTGGTAACCATCAGAGGTTATACTATCAGATAAGGGAAACGGTCATCTGGAGACTTGTTTCCATCTGGACTAAATGGACCGAGAGTGGGCATCCCATCAGCCAAATGTCTAAAGGCTTAAAGAGTTGAACTGAGCAATTCAAAGGCCAGAGCTGCCACTAATCGTCCTGTTCTTTGGGAGGTCCCTTTGGATCCACTCTTTCACGCAGAAATTAAATGTATGATCGAACTGCTGAGGTTGAATAAGGTTTCAGAAGTAGACAAAGTACCCATCTTCGAATTCGGGAGACCTATTTCCTGGACGATTTGCACAATGTGTTAGTGACATTGCGGAGCAGCAACCTGTCCCAACAGACTGGAGCGTTCCGTAACAGTTCGGAACTTCAAAGGCCTCAGGTTCGGAATGCAGATAACATATAGGAATCAGTGCGATCTTCATCAACTCTAAATTTCTCGATGAGCATAGTAAAAGTCAGACTCGTGAAAAGCAAGCTGGAATTTGTGGGTAAGTGAATTAGTCAACTACCTCGAGTTCCGCGCTATGAAGAGTCAAGGGGTCATAAAGTGCCTGGCGGTCCTGCAGCAACATGTTGAAGTTTGAAGGTGAGAAGAGCATACCAGATAATGGGACCACTCAAGAGACTATTCAGGGTTGATTGCGTCACCCCAACATCGTTAAAAAGCACGACGACGTCGTCCGCACAATCAACATCAACTAGTTTTCCACCATGCAACACATTAAAGCCTTTAACGTGAGGTTCCACAACGGAACACTCTATAATAGGGTACAAAAAAATTGAATAAGAGTGGGGAAATTGGACAACTCTGACGAACACCACGTGTTGTCGGAAATATATCCAACAGGTCACCGTAGACCCTGACGCGGCCTGTAGTGTTCCAGTATAGCTTTTCTAAACCGCTGCAAGACCCCATATTCCCAGCCGGTCATAAATGAAAGCACTAAGCGGGCGCAACGCTGAATAAGTTCGGGGATGGGACAAGAACCGGTGTTTTCAGCGGGGTATGATCGCGGGCTGCACCCAAAATGTTCACATATTTCTTGAGACTACTTTTCCATGCAAGTATTTCGAACAGAATGCATCGATCGACTGAAACGAACGCACTCTCCAAGTAGAGGAACACATCTATTGTCGGTATGCGGTGTGCGTGGTGCTACTCTAGCAGCTGCCGAAGAGTGAGTATATGGTCACAATAGTCCAGAACGGGGCGGAAACCTGCCTGCTCTTCTCTAATCCGCGATTCCCTGTTTCGCAGTGAGGTGACGAACGAGTATTGAGGAAAGTAATGTTGTCACGACTGGCGTTAAGACAATACCCCTTTGGTTAGCATAGTCGATGCTACGAACCTTTTTCTATAGTATGGGGCCAAGGAAGAGAGAGAATCTGAACGAATTGTTTTTGCGCACATAGGTCTGGGTT